TATGCTACAGAATTAGACCTAAGTTGTCATCTATAGCTGTGGAAATAAAATAGCTAAACAAATAAAGATAAACAGGAATATATCATCAGGTAGTGTAATTTGTCATTTCTTTCCATTTTGGACACCTTAATTAAATAGTCATCAGTAAGTGAGTAGAAGTTTAACATGGGACTAACTATTAAAACATGATGATATTCTATTAGAATATCACATAAATTTTGATTGTCTTTTGGAGTTATATCTTTTATTCCCATTAAGATTTTATTGTCTCTACTTTTAATCCTTCACAATTATATATTCATTTGATAATGCCTAAAAATTTATATTTCACCTCATTGCTTTTTTTAATCTTATCCCAATAGACAAAAATTCCAAAAGTAAATTCAGTGAAAATTTGGAGATATTTATTAAGCTTAAACTTTGGAATTATTAGAATTATTTTGCAAGTATTTTCCCCCAGAACTGTCTTTGTTTGCATTTGTATTGAGTACATCTTAATTTAAGCATGAATGCAACTGTGATGTGTTGAAGAGATATGAAAGTTGAATAATTAGCAGATCATCTATAATTTGCTTCCTATTTTTTCCTCTACAGGCAAAAAATTCTGAACTTTGTAGCTCTAGGGAATGAAACATTAGTTCAGAAGAAGGCAGTAGACTCTTGTTACAAGTACATTTGACTGTTCACCATGAAGTTAGGAAAACCCAAAGGGGGTATTTCTCGGAGCTCAAGCCAAGGAAAAGCCTATGAGAACAAGCGCAAAACAGGCCGGCAGCGGCAAAAATGGGGAATGACCGTTCGGTTTGACTCAAGCTTGAGCAGACTGAGAAGAAGCTTGGATGACAAACCCTATAAATGTACTGAATGCGAAAAGAGCTTCAGTCAGAGTTCAACTCTTTTTCAACACCAGAAAATCCATACTGGAAAGAAATCCCACAAATGTGCTGATTGTGGGAAAAGTTTCTTTCAGAGCTCTAATCTCATTCAGCATCGACGGATCCATACTGGGGAAAAGCCCTATAAATGTGATGAGTGTGGAGAAAGATTTAAACAGAGCTCCAATCTGATTCAGCACCAGAGGATTCATACCGGAGAAAAACCCTATCAGTGCGACGAATGTGGCCGATGTTTCAGCCAGAGTTCCCACCTTATTCAGCATCAGAGAACCCACACGGGGGAGAAACCGTACCAGTGCAGCGAATGTGGCAAATGCTTCAGCCAGAGCTCTCATCTGAGGCAGCACATGAAGGTGCACAAAGAGGAGAAGCCTCGTAAAACCCGGGGTAAAAACATCAGGGCAAAAACTCACTTATCCTCTTGGAAAGCTGGTACAGGAAGGAAATCAGTGGCTCGTCTCCGTTAAGTAAGGGGCACTGCTTTAGCCCTCTTTTAAAAAAGCGAAAAAGTAGTAACAAATAAAAGCAGTCTCATTTAGATGCTTTATAGTAGAGCTCTTAAATACTGGATCCTTTCCTAGCATGGAGACATTGGGAATTTATTGACATTATTAGGCTGAAAGAAACTACAGGAGTCCAGCTGCCCTCATTTCTTTTCTATGTGACATGGAGCACAAAGAACTGAAAATATGTTTCTGAGAGTATAAGATCCTTGACCTCATTTGAAATTGCTTCCTGCATCATTTTAACAAAAACCATCATGTTTTAATGACACAGTGTGAAAGTGCAGGCATGCTGATGATTACTCAAGTTTTAGGATGTTTTGCGGAAAGAATAATTAAAAGGGAGAAGGAATTCCATTAGTTTTGAAGTTCTGCAACTGATGAGATTTTATGTTTGTAAAGTTTTGTAGTATATTAACCATTGGTTTATAAGTATGACTCAAGATTTAACATATTAAAATGCATTCAAGTTCACAGATTTTTAATCAAGGCCCATAACTCTACATTAGCTTTCTTCTGTTTCTTCCCTTCTGCTTATGGGTAGTTATTAATTAAAGGAGTAAGAAATTCTGTTTTGTTTTTACCAACTTCATGGTAAGAGATACTACAGAATCCAAAATGAGAACTGAATTGGACCTCAAGTCTCCTATTCCTAGTAATACTTTTATTGCTGTGTCACTGGTTTTCCAGAAGTTGGGATGGATTTATGTTGATCCATCCCCATGCCCTTGACCTCTTGGCATTCTCTTGTGCTCTGGCAAACTGAGCCAGCCTTTTAGATCCACATGAATAAACAAACCATATTTTACCAACAAAAATCTCAGCTTGTTTTTTGCTAATTAAAAATCTGCAAGTTACACATCTCCCTGCCTTCAAGACTGTGAGCTTTAGATAATCCTGCTTATCTTAAATGTTTGTCAGCAACAAAAGTGATTTAATGTGTCAGTGCATTGTAGCTTCTTTGAAATTTAACTTTTTCTTC